CCCCCCCGCCTCCACTGCCTTCACTCTGAAGTTGGAAGATATGTTCAGTGCTACCTTGTCTCTGGCTCTATTTTTGTTCATCAGTTTATGTTGATCATTATATCCCACATAAGAGTGAGATCATGTGATACTTATCTTTCTCTGACTGGCATATTTCACATAGAAAGAGATCTTTCTATTTTACAGTGGTGTAGTATTCCATTATGTACATGTACCACAGTTTTTTAATCCACTCATCAACTGATAAGCACTTAGGCTGTTCCCAAATCTTGGCTATTATACTAGTAAATTGTGCTACTATGAACATAGGGCTGCATATATTCTTTCTTTCTTTAAATTTCTTTATTGACTAAGGTATTACATATGTGTCATTATCCCCTGATTATCCCCTCCTCACGCATACCCTTACCACCCTGTTTTCTGTGTCCATTGGTTAGGCTTATATCCATGCATACAAGTCCTTTGGTTGATCTGTTCCCCTTACCCCCACCCTCCCCTACCTTCCCTCTGAGGATTGACGTTCTGATCAATGATTCTATGTATCTGGATCTGTTTTTGTTCATCAGTTTATAATGTTCTTGATATTTCACAAATGAGTGAGATCACGTGATATTTATCTTTCTCTGACTGGCCTATTTCGCTTAGCATAATACTCTCCAGCTCCTTTCATGCTGTTGCAAATGGTAGAATTTCCTTCCTTTTTACAGCAGCATAGTATTAAATTGTGTATATGTACCACTGTTTTGTAATCTACTCATCTCCTGATGGGCACTTAGGCTGTTTCCAAATCTTAGCTATGGTGAATTGTGCTGCTATGAATATAGGGGTGCATATATCTTTTCTGATTGGTGTTTCTGTTTTCTTGGAATATATTCCTAGAAGTGGGATCACTAGGTCAAATGGGAGTTCCACTTTTAACTTTTTGAGGAAACTCCATACTGTCTTCCATAGTGGCTGCACCAGTCTGCATTCCCACCAGCAGTGCACAAGTGTTCCTTTTTCTCTGCATCCTCTCCAGCACTTGTTGTTTAGTGATTTATTGATGATAGCCACTCTGGAAGGTGTGAGATGGTACCTCATTGTTTTTTTGATTTGCATCTCCTGAATGATTAGTGACTTTGAGCATGTTTTCATATGTCTCTTGGCTTTCTGTATGCCCTCTTACGAAAAGTGTCTATTTAGGTCTTTTGCCCATTTTTTGACTGGATTATTTATCTTGCTTTTGTTAAGTTGTATGATTTCCCTATAAATTTTGGAGATTAAACCCTTATCAGAGATAATATTGGCAAATATGTTCTCCCATGCAGTGGGCTTTCTTGTTGTTTCATTGATGGTTTCTTTTGCTGTGCAGAAGCTTTTTATTTTGATGCAGTCCCATTTGTTTATTTTCTCTTTGGTTTCCATTGCTGTATAGGTAAAGATATTGCTATGACAAATGTCTGCTATTATGGTGCCTATGGCTTCTTCTAAGAATTTTATGGTTTCCCATCTTACATTTAAGTCCTTTATATATTTTGAGTTTATTTTTGTATATGATGTAAATTGGTGGTGTAGTTTCAGTTTTTTGCAGGTATCTGTTCAATTTTTGCCAACACCATTTATTGAAGAGACTGTCATGACTTCATTGTATGCTCTTGCGTCCTTTGTCAAATATTAATTGAGCATACTGGCTTGTGTCAATTTCTGGGTTCTCTGTTCTGTTCCACTGGTCTATATGTGTGTTCTTGTGCCAGTACCAGGCAGTTTTGAGAACAGTGACTTTGTAGTATAGCTTGATATCTGGTATTGTGATCCCTCCAACATTGTTTTTCTTTCTCAAGATTGTTGCAGCTATTTGGATTCTTTTTTTATTCCAGATGAATTTTTGTAGAGTTTGTTCTCGGTTTTTGAAGTATGTTGGTATTTTAATAGGGGTTGCATTGAATTGATACTTTGCTTTGGGTAGTATGGACATTTTCATGATGTTAATTATCCCAATCCATGAACACAATATATTTTTCCACTTTTTTTATGACTTCAGTTCCTTTTTTCAATGTCCTGTAGTTTTCTGAGTACAGCTCTTTTACATCCTTGGTTAAGTTTATTCATAAACTTCATATTTTTTGTTGTTGTTGTTGCTGTGGTAAATGGGATTGTTTCTTGTTTTCTCTTTCTGAGAGTTCATTGTTGATGTATGAAAAGGCCATAGATTTCTTGGCGTTAATTTTGTATCCTGTTACATTGCCACATTAATTTATTAAGTGTAATAGTTTTTTGATGGAGTCTTTAGGGTTTTTTATGTACAATATCATGTCATCTGCGAATAAGGACAGTTTTTCTTCTTCTTTTCCAATTTTGATATCTTTTATTTCTTCTTCTTGTCTGATCACAATGGCTAGTATTTCCAGTACCATGTTGAACAGGAGTGGTGAGACTGGGCATCCCTGTCTTGTTCCTGTTCTTAGGGTAAATGGTTTTAGTTTTTGCCCATTGAGTATGATGTTGGCTGTGGGTTTGTCATATATGGCTTTTATTATGTTGAGTTATGATCTTTCTATTTCCACGTTGCTGAGAGTTTTTATCAAAAATGGGTGTTGGATTTTCTCAAATGCTTTTTCTGCATCAATTGATATGACTATGTGGTTTTTTTTTTTTTAAATATATTTTATTGATTTTTTACAGAGAGTAAGGGAGAGGGATAGAGAGTTAGAAACATCGATGAGAGAGAAACATCGACCAGCTGCCTCCTGCACATCTCCTACTGGGGGTGTGCCCGCAACCAACGTACATGCCCTTGACCGGAATCGAACCCGGGACCTTTCAGTCCGCAGGCCGATGCTCTATCCACTGAGCCAAACCGGTTTCGGCGACTATGTGGTTTTTATCTCTCAATTTGTTTATGTGATGTATCACATTTATTGATTTGCGGATATTGTACCATCCTTGCTTCCCTGGGATAAATCCTACTTGGTCATGGTATATGATCTTTCTGATGTACTGCTGGATCTGATTTGCTAGAATTTTGTTGAGGATTTTGGCATCTATGTTCATGGGGGATATTGGCCTGTAATTCTCTTTCATTGTGTTGTCTTTATCTGGTTTGGTATTAGGGTGATGCTGGCTTCAGAGAATGAGCTTGGAAGTGTTCCTTACTCTTGAATTTTTTTGGAATAGTCTGAGGAGGATAGGTTTTAGTTCGTCCTTGAATGTTTGGTAAAACTCCCCTGTGAAGCTGTCTGGCCCTGGGCTTTTGTTTGCTGGAAGCTTTCTGATGATTGCTTCAATTTCTTCCATAGTTATTGGCCTATTGAGATTTTTAGATTCTTCCTGATTGAGTTTTGGAAGGTTGTATTTTTCTAGGAATATGTCCATTTCCTCCATGTTGTCCAGTTTGTTGGAATAGAGTTGTTCCTAGTATTTTTTAAACAATCCTTTGTATTTCTGTGGGGTCTGTTGTTATTTCTCCTCTTTCATTTGTGATTTTGTTTATTTGGGTCCTCTCTCTTTGCTTCTTGGTGAGCCTGACTAGAGGTTCATCAGTCTTGTTTATCCTTTCAAAGAAACAGCTCTTGGTTTTGTTGATCTTTTGTATGTTTTTTTTTTCCGGTCTATATGTTGTTTATCTCCAGTCTAATCTTTATTATTTCCTTCCTTCTGCTTACACTGGGCTTTTCTTGTTGCTCTTGTTCTAACTCTTTGAGTTGTAGGGTTAGGTAATTTATTACCATTGTTTCCTGTTTTTTTCATTAAGCTTGTAGAGCTATGAACTTCTCTCTCAAGACTGTTTTCTCTGTGTCCCATATATTTTGGATTGTTGTGTTTTCATTGTTATTTGTTGCCACAATGTTTTTTATTTCTTCTTTGA